CTTTTTTTTTTATATATATTGATAATACATGTCTTTGTATACTTAACTAATTTAACAATATTAAAATTACAACTCTTTTTTTTTTTATATATATTGATAATACATGTCTTTGTATACTTAACTAATTTAACAATATTAAAATTACATATTATATCTTAATGGTTTTCTTATAATTCTACCCTTCCTACTTACTTTGCTTACTACAGTTTCCTTATTTTTAATACCAATCTCTTTCCTTCTTTCTCTTTCACATTTACTATTCTCTCTCTCCTCCATATTTCCATTATCATACCTCACATGTCTAGATGAGATGTTCTCCTAAATAGCTTGTTATTTTTGTTCTTAATTATGAATGATCTAGGTTCTTCACTCTTTTTAATAATGGTACCTTTTTCCCACACTTTATCTTTTAAATATAGAATTGAGTCATTTACTGCAAATTTGTTTTCTTTAATTCTCACATTTTTGTCATACTGACATTTTTGTATTTTTTGTTGTGCCAACATTTTCGCATAAGCCTCAATAGGAATTTGAGGGTAAAGTAATTTCTCATTAATAGGCAATTTTGTTCTAATCTTCCTACTCATAAGTAACTCTGAAGGAGTGTATTCAAGACCTGCAACTGGTGTACTTCTATAGTCTAATAAATAAAGATCTATGTCTTTACCTGTTAATATAGATTTTTTAAGCATGGTTTTTGCTATCCCTACACTTTTCTCAGCAAACCCATTACTTTGGGCATAATTTGGACTTGTTGTTATTACTTTAAATTTCCATTCTTTAGCAAAATCTAAAAATTGCTTGCTATTGAATGGTACGTTATCAGAAACACATATTTTAGGGATTCCAAAATAACTAAATACATTTTTTAAAATTTTAATTATTGAATCTGCTGATTTACTGCTTAGTTTTTTGATATCTAGCCATTTTGAGTAATAATCATTTATAATTAAATATGACACACCACCATATTCACCAATATCTACCCCTATTTTAATAAATGGTTTGTCAGGAATTGAATGATTTAATAATGGCTCTTTAAATTTTTTCCTTTGATACCTGGCACACAATGAACACTTACTTATAAAATTTTCTATGTCATTTGCCATATTAGGCCAATAATAATAAGACCTGGCTCTTTTAACGGTTTTAGTCATACCTATGTGGGTTTCATGAAGTAATCCTAGTATGAATGCTCTTAATTTAAAAGGTACAATTAATCTGTCATTGAGATAAATCAAATTATTGTTTACTGTTATATCATTTCTAAATTTCCAAAAATTATATAGTTCTCCTTTAAATGGTAACTTAGTTTTATCACTAGGCCAATTGTTATTGTAATATAGCTTTACTTTATTCAGACAGGGATCATTTATAGTCTCCTTTTGAAATTGTAACAGTTTTTCATCACTAATCTGTATTTTTTCTGAATTAATACTATGTACAACATCATTAATTGAGATATCATCTTTTATATTTTTAATAATATAGTCTCTACTTAGATAATCTGCAATGTGCATTTGCTTACCTGGAAGATACTTCACCTCTAGATCATATATAGCTAACTTCGTTTTTATTCTTTTTAATCTATTATTCTTAATTTTATTATATTCTTTATTCATGATAGAGACAATTGGTTTATGATCAGTATGTACCGTTATACGTCTACCATAGATGAAATTATGAAATTTTGTACAAGCATATAATATTGCATTCATTTCTTTTTCAATTTGAGCCCACTGTTTCTCAGTTTCGGTTAAGCTACGTGATGCATATGAGATTGGCTTATTGTCTTGCATTATGCAACACCCTACACCCGATTGTGAGCTATCTGTTTGTATAACTATTTTTTTATTACCATCAAATGCAGCTAAAACTGGGGCACTCATCAATTTATCTTTAATTTTATTCAGTGATAGTGTGTGAATTTCATTCCATTGCCATTCAATATCTTTTTTTAGTAATTTCTTAGCGGATCAGACATTTCTGCTAAATTTGGAACAAATTTCCTAACATAATTAATAAAACCAAGTAACCTTTGAAGTTCTTTTTTGGAAGTTGGTTCTTTAAGGGATTTTATTGCCTCTGTCCTATCTGTGTCAATGGACATACCCTTACTATCAAATAAAAGTCCTAAGAATTTTACCTTATTCTGGCAATACTGAACTTTGTTCTGATTAAATTTAATATTGTACTTCCTAGCGCGGTCAATAACTTGCTTTAATATATTATCGTGCTCTTCCTTATTATCTGCTGCTATAATGAAGTCATCAAAATAAATTGTTAAACCTTGAATATCACCAAAATATTTTATATTATATTTTTGAAACACCATTGGTGCAGTTTTAATACCAAAAGGTAATTTATTAAATTTAAGGGTACCTAATGGGCTTGGAAATGAACATAAATTATTACATGAGTTTGTAAGTTCTATTTGCCAAAATCCATCCTTAAGATCAAGAACTGTATAAAAATTTTTTTTCAACAACCTAGGAGTTATTTCATCTAACGTTGGAATAGGATAATTTTCTTCTACAATATTTTTATTTAAATGTTGTGGGTCTAGACATAATCTTAAACTTTTGTCTGGTTTTTCTATAATAACTATGTTGTTTAACCAATCAGTTGGCTTTTCAACATAAGACACAATTCCTTTTTCTAATAATTCTTTTAACTTAATTATAAATCTATCTACAATTGCATGTGGTACTCTCCTATAAGGCGCTGGTTGAGGTTCAGCGTTATCTTTAAGCTGTATTTCATACAACTCAGGAAACTTACCAAGTCCAGTAAATACATCAAAATTATTTTTTATGAATGATTCCTTTTCTGAAATTATCATGTCAACTCTTTTTATTAAATCATATTTTACACATGATTCTAAACCCAATATAGGAATAATGTTTTTACACTTATTTAGTTGACTCGGTTTTAATATTAAAAACTCAACATTATCTATACATTCCGGACTTATCATACATTTAATTTGACACTTTCCTATGCTCTCTATCTTATGACCTCTATACGACTCAACATTTAATTTATTAGATCTTATCTGTGGTTGAGGTTTAATTTCCTTGAAATGTTCCCACGGAATAATATTAACGTCACTTCCTGAATCCAATTTAAATTTTATATTCTTATTAATCACTTTTATTGTTTTTGTCCAACTACTATTAATCTGATGCACATTATATATTGTATCGATTTGAAACATCTCCTCCTCACCATAATGCGTTTCATGGACCTCTTTTTTCTCTTCTTTGTTTTTATTCTTACATCCTAAAGCAAAATGGTTCATCTTTTTACATATACTACACATTTTACCAAATGCAAAACACTCTCTAGGTTTATGTTTCCTACCACACTTCTTACAGTTATACTCATTATTTTTATCACCATCACTTTTCCTATATTCTCCCTTTACATTTTTATTTTTAACATATTTGTTATTATTAGTCTTAGTTAAATTCTTACCTTTCCCTTTATCCGTACTCTTCATTTTTACCATATGTACATCTGATGATGTTGCCATTTCTTGAACAACAACGACAACTTGTTCTAGTTTTGTTGCCTCTGTGGTTTTACATATTTCTTCTGCCTTGTCAATCGTCAGTTTACTTATGCTTAGTAGTTTATCTTTGATTTCTGGATCTTTAACGCCAAACACTATTCTGTCTCGTATCATGTTATCCTCTTCTTTGTATTCACAAGTAGCAGCTAGTGTTTTTAATTCGGTGAGAAAATCATCAAAGCTTTGGCCCTCTTGCTGTATACAACATCCAAATTTGTATCTTTGAAATATTATATTCTTTCTTGGTTCGCAGTATTGTTGGAATGCTTGTATCACCGTGTCAAATTCAGTTTTTTCTTTCTTTTTGAAATTATTATAAATCTTGACCCCTTGTGGACCAATTAAATTCAATAAGATATTAATTTTTCTTATGTCATTCTCTTCATCTTTATTAGATGCTATTAGATAAATATTAAATTGTTGATACCACTCTTTCCAGTTTTGTGCAACATTACCACTAAAGGACAGTTCTGGAGGTGTACGGTACTCCATTTTACTTTATCCTTTTCAATCGTGGTTTTGTTATAATGTTCTTCTACGACTGCGCCATGTTTTATTATTCTTAATGTTCTTGTTTTATTATTTCTTTAATAATCTTATTATAGTAAATGAAAACAATGTTAATTTAAAGATGACAGAAAACGTTTAATACATTATATTGTTTTATATCATGCTCTTGTGTTGCATTTACTTCCAAACAATAACCATATTATTTCTAATGTGGTTGACCTATCACTCGTCTATGATAACCTGATAACATGAGTGTTATCACAGCGTCAACAACCGAAATCCGGAAATCGTGGCCCGTCTGCCACGAGGTTTCAGTTCGTTGCACAATAATCACCGTGTGCGACTTCGGGAAAACCCAGCCGCATAACGCACGTGACGTAATCTCGTTTATCGTCAGTTCCGACCCGATCGTGCGAGTGCGCCCGTCGTCCGCTCCGACCCGATCGTGCGAGTGCGCCCGTCGTCAGCTCCGACCCGATCGTGCAAGTGCGCCCGTCGTCCGCTCCGACCCGATCGTGCGAGTGCGCCCGTCTGCCGCTCCGACGCCGATCGTGCGAGTGCGCATGGTTGATATCAGCGTATCACCGTTATGAGATAACGCTGTTGTTTTGAAAACAGACTGTTGTCACTTGTCACCGTTCGACAACGGCTTTAATATGAGTAATGAAACCCCGCCGACGAGTTGTCCGAACATACAAGCGCCGACTTACACCGAATTATTCAATCAGGCTGAGTCGTTGAGAGCACGACTAGAGGCCCTGGAGAATAAACACTCGAACGTTGACTCGGAGCCATCGGCTGACGTTGTACCGCCCCCGTGCAATAACTACCGGCTATTACCGGACCTGAATAAAACCGTGCCTGTATTCACCGGTCATGAAACCTGCTGTGAAGCGGAGGATTGGATAAACACCGTCGATGCTATGGCGGGAATAAATAATTGGCCGGTGCCGTATCGACTGCAATATACGAAGTCCAACATGTCGAACGCGGCCCGCAGTTGGTTCCTGACCGAGACCTTCCGCGATTGGGTGGACTTTATGGCGAAGTTCCGTACCACATTCGTCTGGGAGTTGAGAATGTCTGATAGGTGGGAAGCAATGACCGTACGCCGACAGGGCGACACGGAACACGTCGCTGACTATTTCTATGACAAACTACGGCTCTGTCAAGCCCTCAATCTGTCATTTTACGAGATACGCGATCACATTGTCCTGGGTATTCATTCGCAGGAACTAGCGGTGTTTGCGATGGGCAGGTACCACACGTCAACCGCCGCGCTCCTGGCCGATCTACAAGAAGGTGGACGATTGTTTGAACTCCGTAGGGCACAGGGTGCTACCGTGAAACCGTCCGAAGATAAAGGTTGGAAATCATTCCCGAAATCACAACGGAAAACTGCTGCACCAGCACCAACTGCAGAAGTGCAAAACACAACCGTCATCGCCAATAAAACGACGTCGATCAGGGAGTCGACTACTGTCCGTTGCTTCAACTGTAACATGAATGGGCATATCGCGCGGGACTGCCCGAAGCCGCGTAAGCCGTGCTCCGGCTGTCAATCCACTGCTCATACGCGGAGCCGATGCCCCGTAAAGCCGGCGCAAGCTATGCTGGTTGGGCCGATGCTGTCAGAGCCACAGAACAGTTTCATCAAGGACATATTATTCAATGAGGTCAGGGCGACCTGTCTCATCGACACGGGTTCGTCTCACGTCCTAGTACGTAACAGTCTAGTTCACCGGTCTGCAGCCACCGTGCGTTGGACATCGCGCCCGCTGTACACCGTTGGCGATACACATCGACCCGGCGCGGCTACGCTGGGCGAGGCCACGGCCGATATTACTGTAGANGTGATGCGTACTGAATAGGTTCACTATAAGAAGTGGACGGTTCTGGTGTTTTTACACTGCAAGCACTAGGAACTGTAAATTATAAAAACAAAAAACAATAAGTACTAATCCATACATTATTCACAAATCATTATGAATTTCTATTACTCTCTATCTCAACACAAGCTACTGCTTAAAGAGATAGATAAATCTAGTAAATATTGTATGTATTATGTAATTTATGACAGTTAATTAATAAAAAAAAAAAAAAAAAATACTAAATAAACTTACCAGGTAAATTTAAACTAGGGACAACAAAACATTTAAGTTTATTGGTCCCTGGACTTATATCATTGTTTAAAAAATGAATTGAACAAACGCGTTTTTTTTCATTAATAGTTGATGGATCGAGAGACTTCAGATTGACTCCTACAATTTCTACCCATTTATCAAAACACTCTTTATTCCTATTGGGATTTGGAAATCGGTGTGATGATGTGCCTTAAATTTAAAATTTTATAATTATGTACTGTTATAGTATTTAATTTTATTAAAAACATTTATAACTGAAACTCGCATAATGTATAATTTACAACTTAATAAAATATAATAATATACACAAAATTATGTTATTATAATTAACTTTTTAACTATTTAATGCCCATCTTTGGTAATACAATAATAGAATAGCATGTATCTACTGAGTATTCAATGGTAAAAGATTCACCCTGTATATAATAAATATTATATTGTATCTATGCTATCTAAAGAACATAATTTCTATAATATATAACAACACTGGCACATAACACATTTTGTTGACTCAAATAATAGTAAGATAAGGTCTGCAAAGAGAATTTCCAGCAATTAAGTTATTTTACTTATATTATTATTAAACCAATAATTATATTTTATGATAAGCTATGAAAAAGGTCACCCTATAATCTCTAAGTAAGGAATTTCCAGTAATAAAAAAACCTATTTTACTCTACATTACACCACAAGTTTATCATATAATATATTTAATATACAAAAATACACTCAATAAAGATGAAGAATGAAAGATATATTGCAACCACTCATTAATACCCCTTAATGAAAAAATTGAAATTGAAATCATTGCCTAAGTACCTAATACTCAGCTTTTTAATCTATAAATACTTAAATCAATCTGAAAATATTCTACTTCGAAATATGAAATTAAAATATGGGACCTGGTTTAAAAATTATATAATTTAATATTTTTTAATCAAACAACTACAATATAAAATACGAACCTGTTGAAGAACACCCAACCACACAACATTTGTAAGCGTATCTTGTCATCGTTTTAATTTGTCAAAAACCAAATAAAAATAAGAGTCGGCAACGTAGTCAAGCCGGCACAACAGTTTGAAAGTCAGAGCAGGAAATGCAGAATGCAGATAACAGTAATTCGGTAATCGGTATCTGCGGCGGTACGCAGCGCTGATATGATGGGTCGTTGGGTGGGTGGCGGTGTCGGTGACTAGAGCGCTCGTGGTGCCTGGTGAATGAACGTCCAATGTCTGTATTGCTACTATACAGTTACCAGCCCCTGATGCAGACTGAAACTACGAGCACGCGCACACCAAAACATACGTGATCACTGCGCGCCTAGCGGCGTCAGACGGAAACGTTCCCTAGTTTCTGAATAGCCCTCGTATCTGAGGTGTTTTATAGTAAAACCCAATTTCCGAACTGTGTAGGAGTTGTAGACGGGAAACAAATCAGACTAGAATGTCCCCACCCCCCCTAAGTGGTACTATAGTGTTTAGACTACAACTACAAACATTATTTTTTCCTTAATCCTCATGGTCATCTGTGATGCAAACTATTGCTTCACAGTTAGATGTTGGATCATTTGGAAAGGAGAGTGACTGAAATATTTTTAAAAAATCAGCTTTCGATAAAAAATTATACTGGAATAAAAATGACTTTGCGTGGTTATATGGGTTTTCTGAATTTGTAGGAAACTGTTTAGGTTGCAGAGGCATGAAACTTTGTGCAAAGTTATCACCACGGCTGGTATCATCCATTGGACCTATGGATTCGACTGATGTCCCTGAATAGTTGGTGTTAACAGACAACGGCGATGACACTAGGAATCCGGCTGATGGCCGCTGGTTAGACTTTTTTTCTAAAGCTCTAGTTAACAAGTTCATTATCTCACTTTTAACCCTCATTTTTTCCAAAGACGACAACTCTTTCATAGGTTCTAGTAAACTCAGTACAACATGAGTGTCTGCATCGTCTTCTTTTTTTCCGTTTTTTTAGAAAACCTTTCTGACAAAATTTGCAATTTCTTCGATTCGATTTCTAGAAATTTATCATTGTCACTAAATCCACGCTTATTACCTTTCTTTTCGGTAGGCTTATTTGGTTTCTGGTTTCTATTTTTGGTGGTCTGCGAAATATCTAAAACTTCATCCGATGAATCATTTTCAAAATTTGCCTTAAGTGTACATGGTTCTGCAGTGAAATTACAAACATCTACAATGTTATTGTCTTCATCATTTGAGATGTCAGTCAGTGAATCAGCAGTTGACTTGTCCCCTAGGTTTTCAAAGTTAACACTTGGAATATTACCAGAACTTTCCCGTGGAGTCAATACGTTTCGAAGGAAGTCCATGGCTTCAAAGTACGGCCAGTTGTCATCTCTTTTAGCGCCATCACCACTCTTTTTCTCTAATCGCGTCTTCAATTTTCGCCGGTAGGAATCTCGCAAATTTTGCCACATTTTCTACGCTGTAGTTCCTGCATGCGAAAGAAATAAAAACAAAATAGGTAGTAGAACGGGTAGAAAAAAAGAAAATAGGAGTCGAAAAATGGAAGAATTGGTACAACCATATTTCACGGTTTCACATTTAATTTAGTTTGTAATTTTATCATTTAAACTAAAAAAAGGTGGGAAAGCGGGTGTTGCTCTGCTTTACAGTAGGTTACAAGTGGGTCACTGTATTGGATGGAATAAATAAATTAATAAAAATGATTTATAAACAATAAACAATAATAAATACAAATAAATACAAAACATACCTGGTTTTTTTGAATCTAGGTAAAAATGTCCGAGGAAAAAATGTCCACGGTAAAAATGTTCGGGTAAAAATGACCAAGGCAAAATTGTCCAAAATCAAGAATGTCCGAGGAAAAAATGTCCGAAACCAGAAATGTCCATGGTAAAATTGTACAAAATAAATTTCAAAAATATCAACAAAAAAAAATTCATATAATTTAAAATTCATATAACTTATATAATATTACCTAATTAAAATGGATAAAAGTCATTATTGCTGTATATTTAAAAATGTCAAAAAAAAAAAAATTCATATAATTTTTATAATATTACCTAATTAAAATTTATAAAAGTCAATGCTATACATTTTAAAAAGTTTTCAATACTTCTTTCGTTATTTTTGTACTCCTCACATATTTTTTTTAATTTTTCTTGCATACCAATATACATTTTTTTTTTTTTTGCCAGAGGTTGTCCAATATCTCTTTGCCCAATTTTAACTTCATCGACTCCTAATTCTAATCGCATCTTTTCTATCAGTAACCATATACTTGGATGTGATCGATTCACTAATTTAGAAAACCTGTGATTCCATCCTTCAGTTTGGTTGTTAGTGCGCTGGCCATCGTTCAACGTAACTTCGTGAACATTCCAAACTGAAGGAGGAAATGCAGCTGGGGTTCTTCTAATAACGTTACTTCTAGTATTATTTTTTATAATTCTCCCCCCTATGTAAGTTGAATCAAAATACTCCATCAACTCATTAGCTTCTTGTGGCATAATTGTTTTTAAATAAATTAACCCTCTTGGTACGTCATTTATTGGTAAAAATGCCAACCCATCAAGCATTCGACAAAATGTACTAAATAATTCGTTTTCCCTATAATGTTTCTCAAGACCTAATGATTGGATTTTTCTATGGGTTGACTGACACAGATGATAGAAACATCCTTGAATTTTTATATGGTGTCCTAAAATATTTTTAGCCGCATTAATGACAGCTTTTTCAAAGTCAATGTTTAAAACATTAGGACACGGATTTAAATTTATATCAGCGCATTTTTCTAAAATTATATTAAAAACATTCTCATACGTCTTTTGACTCTTGTTTTGTAACAAACAAAAAATAGTTGTAATAAAAATGCCTCGGACCTGTACGCGAATAACATACAATTGTTGAAAAAAAGTTGGAGCTAAAGTGAAATTCCCATCCATGTACCATTCGTCAGCTTCAGCAAGATAACGTAAGCATTCATCAGTAGCAAAAATAATTATACGTTCATTCGATTCATTGTTATTGTCATACAGTAGGAATCGTTCGTGGTTTGGTTCCCCAGTGGTACTCCATTCGTCTAAATGGCATAAAATAAGTTTCATATACTATATATGTATATTTGTGTATTATTTTATCATTTATAATAGTAATAAATAATAATATTATATATTATATAATATTGTAAAATTATAATAAACTTGTGATACACGGAGGTATAATACAATGTATAAAACATTAATTATATATTTATATTATACCTGATATGTTCAATTGACTAAGATCAGCTGGACATATTGGGTGATTAGATTTTTTTTTATTCCGTAGTGTCCTTTTTACTAATTGTTCTGGAGGCATTCTAGATTTACAATCAATATTCAGTTGAACTATTCCTTCAGCAAACAGAGTTGATGGAGTTTTGTCATTGGTTGTCGCTTTATTCTAGTTATAATATTACATTTTACATTATTATTAAAATGATCTAGGTTCGGTTAGGTAAAGTAATAAATCGTACTTTCATTTCTTCTAAGGATTTTGTGACTGATATTTCGTTGAGATCAGCTGAATGTGAATGGTTTTTAATCAGTAACGGATTATTTTTTAATAAATTCGTAGTTAGCGACGCAGAACAATTTAACAAACTGCGTTTGACACAATGCCAACGAATTTTGGTTTTCAGCCTGTGTTGTATGGTATATGTATACCCATTTAAACACAGCTTGTCATGGTTTTTATTTGATTTAATAATATCGGCCATTTCAATCATTTTAATAAAATAAAATAAAATAACACGCACACTTAAATGATTCAACTGTAAACTCAGGACTGGCCATCACCTAAACGAATTGTCGTTGTACTAAAAATTGTCGCGATAATCTTATCGTAATAACCGATAAACCGCGCAATGTCATATACAGGGTGTTCCCATTTTATTATTAGTATATTTGACATATACAGGGTGTTCCCATTTTATTATTTTTCGATACTTATATTTTTATTTTTTATTTTTCGGGCATTTTTACCTTGGACATTTTTAACTCGGACATTCTTGGTTTCGGACATTTTTAACTCGGACATTCTTGGTTTCGGACATTTTTTTCCGGACGTTTTTACCGTGGACATTTTTTCCTCGGACATTTTTGTAGAATACCGGTTTTTTTTAATGTATTTAGTATTTACTATTTACACATTTATATATTTATTTTTTGTATAATTGTTTTTTTTTAGTAATTGTATTTATTAATAATAATAATTACTATTATGTTTATGAGTTTACTTTTCTAAAAAATGATCAAATAAAATGATCAAAAAAGATTTCTAAAATTAATTAAGTGAAATAATGCTAAATAAAAAATCTTGAATAATATACTTATAAATTAAAATAATTAATCAAAAAGATTAGTTAAGATTGTAACTAAAAAATAGTAAATTACTTGATGTAGTTAACCAAAATTATGTGTTTGAATTAGGTAAATAAAGAAATTTTTTTATGAATATCTGACAGCAAAATAATTTGCAAATTGTCGAGATTAGGATGAATTTTGTAAAAATGTTAATTTTAGATGCCTATTATAACAATAAAATCGTGACTGAATTTTTAATATTTTTCAAATGCTATTGTAACAATATAATAGGAACCTTTCATTAATTGTTCATGCTTTTTGATCCAATAAATTTATAGGAAAAAAACTAAAAAAATGTAAAATATCCGTTAACTTCTAAAAACGAGATTCAAAATTTTTAAAGAATTTCCAACTTAAAATAACACACATTTATTCGTGATTTGTACATATTTTGTCAAAATCCAAACTTTAAATACTTATAAAAAAAAATTGTGACCATATTTTTAATATTTTAAATATAAATTATTACATAAATGAGTTAATTTCATTTCAGGTATCTCTCAACAGGCCTGCAGTCTTTCTATTCTCTTAGCCTTGTATTTCGTTTGAATGACTATATAATTGGGAAAATTGTTGGTGAGGTAGTCCAAAGTATTTGGAAAAATTTACAATCTTCACACATGCCCATTCCTACTAGAGATGATTTTTTGAGAATGGCAGCAAATGCCAAGGAAAGATGGAGTTTTCCAAACGCGATAGTCGCAATAGATGGGAAACATATCCAAATAAAGGCGCCTTCAAACAGCGGTACGATGTACTACAACTATTTAAATTATTTTTCGGTTGTTTTGCAAGGAATAGCAGATGCTGATTGCAAGTTCATTTTTATTGACGTTGGTGGATATGGGAAACAAAGTGACGCAGGCACTTTTGCCGAGTCACAAACTTTTCAGTTTTTGGAGGACTTTGAGAAGAACCTACCAAAACCATGTCCATTTGAGGGAAGTGAAGGCCCAATGCCATTTGTTTTTGTAGGAGACGACGCATACCCTCTGAAAGTGTATCTGATGAAACCATACCCCGGAAATAATCTAATAGCGTTTTCGATTTGACGCACTTTTTGCACTGAGTGCAAAAACGTATTCGATTTGATCAATATTCTGTGAACTGGTGGAGTGTTTTGTATTCGATTTGATTGCAGTGCAACCCTCGTGTGCACTCAGTGCGCACTTTCTGCACCGCCGATTTTGTGAGTGTTTTTATTACTATGAACTTAACTTCTCTATTGAGGGGTCAAAATATTATATTTTTTTCCCCCGGTAATTTGTTTTAAAATTGTTATCGTTATTTGATTATTTTTGTCCTAATTATTATTAATTACGACAAGTTTACTAAGTTATTAATTAATTAAAGTCTATTAATTAGCTAATTACATAAATTATAAATACATAATATGATGGATAGTATACAAACAATAACATTGATAGAATCGGGTATTCTATCATCCTCTTCATCTTCGGACTCATCTGATGACGAAGAACTATATTCAGTGATTTGTAATGGAATTCATCATGTAAAGCCCAAAGTTAAGGACTTTGTGGTAAATGTTGTACATAGTTTTACCGATGACGAGGTATGTTTAACAATTCATAATTTAATAAGTATTAAATAGAGATTCTTAATATAATTTTTTATTAAAATTAATAAATTACCCATTTTTACAGTTTTTAAGAAATTTCAGACTATCCCGAACAACTGTGGATAGAATTGTCAGAAATTTTATGAGCAGTGATTACTATCCAAAATATACAGCTGGAAAGCCCACAATATCAGCTGAAGCACATATACTGATGTTTCTATGGTAAGTTAGCATTACCATTATAAGTCAACAATAATAATATTATGACCTTAAATGTTGAACATAAACGTGCGCACAGGATATGCTCGCAATTTTTATAAATTTAAAACTGTCATAAAATATCCTCAAAAATATAAATACATCAAACAAGTTATATGTATAGACAAATTCAATTACAAAAACTTAATGCTGGTAAATTGTAGACTTGGACTTTATATATCATAGTCAATAAGATTTTTTTAGCAACAAAATTGTTACAGACTTTTGAAAATAAATAAATAAAATACAGGGGTATAGGAATTTTTTTTTCGGGTAGGCCCACTGTAATCCTTATTAATGATACTCATAGATGAAAAGGGGAACTTATCCCACTTTATTTTTGTACTACCCTCCTATATGATTTCAAAGTTATCAATGATTATATTTATTATTAATTAAAAACTTTCGACAAAGTGAACCAAAAAATCATTTTATCACTACACTTTTTATTGTTATTTTTTTAGAATGAAGTGCCAGAGGGTTCAATTACTTTTGGGGGCCAAATTTTTGATATTGCATACCCTGCCAATGAAGTCTGCACATGTCTATAATGTTGAAATCTTATTAATTCAATAAAAAACCCATAATAACTGAATAGTTATAACATAAGCGCAATTTGGACAACTGATTTGGGGGGGGGGGCTAAATTTATAAAATCAATACAGACCCGTATAATTTTTTATGGTGGATTTAATCATGAATATATTCAAAAACTTAGGGGGGCTTAAATAAAACTAAATTGTGCCTATGAGTTACAATAACTAATAAGGTATGTGTATTAAAAAGAGACAAGTATTTAAATAATATAGTTAACCTGGGTTCCTGATGTTATGCTAATCTATTGTATACTATAAGTACTTATTTTAGGTTTGCAGGTAACAAAACAGTAATAAGAATAGTGGCACAAGTATTCAATTGCAGTGAATCTTCTTTTTTTGTAGTGTTTAATAGGGTAGTTGAATTCCTATTGAATATTTTGCCTAGTATAATTAAAATGCCTACCTCAAATGATGACAAAATACAATGTGCCTACGAGTTTCAGCAAGTAATACTTAAATAAAACTCATTATATAATAAAAACTTAAAAAAAAATTAAATTGCTTAGAAATTAATGTGAAACTTTTTCTTTTAAATGTTAGATTGCAGGTATACCTGATGTACTCGGTGCTATAGATGGTTCGTATATAAGCATTAGAAAACCAAAGCACAAAATTCGATCCACGTATGTTAACAGACATCATGACTGCTCTTTAACTTTGCAAGGTATATTTTGCAATGCAAAGAAAAAATTTGTTGATGTTTGTACTGGAACGCCCGGTAAAATGCATGATGCCCGCATACTTCAACACTCTTTTATATATAAAGACACATATTTACAACAAGTATGTGGATCAAAGTACCACATTTTAGGTGATGCAGCTTATCCGCTAGAAGAAAATATTATAACTCCTTTCAAGGATTATGGAAATCTTACAAACAATGAGAAATTATTCAATAAAAATCATGCCAAGACAAGAGTTGTAATTGAGAATACTTTTGGCTTATTAAAAGGACGTTTCCGCCAATTGTTAAAATTAGATTTTTTATTAGCTGAAAAAGATTCAAATTTTATACTAGCTTGTTGTGTGCTACATAATTTGTGTACAGATGATGATGATCTCGTTCCTGAGCAACCACCTATAGAAGTAGAAGAATTACCAGAAAATGTAACTCTTAACATTCACCCAGGAACTCTCCAATCTCGAGAAAAAGGATTTCAAAAACGAAAAATGTTATGTTCTTTGTAGACTTTGATAATTTTAATTTTTAGAAATATATTAATACATTTTTATGACAGAAATCTATTTGTTATTCAAAATTTTTTTGAGAATATCCATTTTTTCTTCATGACGTTTTTGACGTTCCAGTTCTCTCTTTTGTCTTCCTTCTTCTTTTTCTTTATGCATGGTAATCAGCAGATCATTCAGAGAAGTCTTGGCCTTCTTTGTAGCTCGTGCCTCAACATCTTTAGTTATCGTATCATCTTTTAAAATTCTTTTCAGTCCAGAACTAGATGTTCCTAATAATGTAAAATGTAATGTGTTTATTAAACAAGGTTACACAGCAAAATTTGTTTTAGTGTGAGAAATGAATGTATTGAATAATAAATAAATTTAGAACTGTGCAATAGCTCAATTTAGTTAGATTAATTACACAAAATTAAAAATACACAGTCATCAGTGTTGGATTCAGTGATTATGTACATAAATATTGCATACAAAAATATGTACAATGTACAATACCATACCTATGTCTATACCTAAATATATATTTTTATATTATATAATAATGATGGAGGTTTGACTTTTTACTTTTGAAAGTTTACTTAAATATTATTATTCTTATATAGCTTATGGTTTTGTCATTAAAGTGGAAACTCTATGATACAAATATAATTTTGGGTTTTGTAATTTTGTTTCTGTGTAATTAAAGATATACTATATTATTAATAGTAAAATAAATTACTTAATAGCAGTAACATCGTCATGTGTTTATAGTACATGCTGATATATAGAAACCATATTCACTCAAAATTGTAATTTATTGCTAAAATAATACTAACCTACACAAACAGATGGTTCAATAGAATCATCCAATGCTGTTATCTTACTAAACTCTTCATCAACGCTACTGAACTTGGGAGACGATCCAGAAGTATTGTTATTTTTCATATATGCTTTGTTTCTTTTTAAAACAGTTTTATATCTATTTTCAATTTGAGTTTCTGTAAATACATAACCTATTTGTTCTACCATATCTTGTTTAATTCTTGTCCACATTGCCTTTTTGTTTCGGAATTTTTTCATAGGGCCTATTTGTTCCATATACTTATGGAAACAGTTTAGCATAAATGATGTATTTCCATCTGTCCAAAATGTAGTATTTGTGGGACTTGTGTTGTCAACTGTTAACACAATATTAGTGTATTAAAATCACACATATGAATCTGTGAAACAGCTGCTACTTAAGTATTAAAACATAAAATTATGAAAGTATAAATATTAAAAAAATAAAGGATTTATGTATTTAAATAAAAACATAGGTACAAAACTGTAGTGTATTTGTGTCTCTATTAAAATACAATTTTTCTTTGAATATTAGAAGATATTAATACAGAAATTCAGACACATTTTGAGTTAAATTTGTAAACAAATTTTATTAGCATTTGTACTTTTAAAAGTATAAATATAAATACCAAATCTACCGTTTGTTAATATTATTTATTGACTACAATCTACAAGATGATAACTTGTAGTAAACACTAATACAATGTAATATTTAAACAATCAATTTAGGACACTGCTTTTTAGAACTACTTTAATTAATTATTAAAAGAAGCAGGCAAAATTGAATGAATAGCCACAGAAGAAACATATATAAATTATACATATTTGGTTAACCTGACAATGAAACTGAATTTTGTGTAAGCAAATTTTCATTTTTTGTTTTATTCATAAGCAGTTTATCACTTTCTATGATTTCTTCTGACCTATTAAGTATTATGTATAGAAGCAAGCACATATTGGAAGAAACATATTTTAAGTAATTAATATTATTAATTAAGATTTTAATTCGATATTACCTTTGAATATTTTTATATTCCTCTTGGTTGCATGTATGAACTGAAGTGTTGGAATACACTTCAAAACATTTATTACAAATCTGCAGTATGAATAAAAATAGTATTGATAATTAAATTAAAAACCAATTATTAAAGTAGGTACTCACGTCAAATGTTTCAGAATCGGAATCAGACATTTTAAATTTTTAAACTTCTAGGTACGAGGTACGACTATGCCACTATGGGAAATTTATTAAAGACAAGCGACAATTATTATAATTAATTTACTAATGAGAAATAATCGATTATGTATCGTGTGTCATCTTTTGTTTCGAACAAATTGGCGGTAAAATATTATTTATCATGATTAAAAATGGTTATAACATGTATTTCATCCATGATGATTTATTCATCCATGATTAAACATGTAATCATATCTTTTCNCTACTATTATTAAATTGTAATATAAACATACAGTCCACTACCTAGTCTCTTTTTATTACTTTCATTATCCATAATTATATTTGTATGAACCAGGTATGCTTGCTATTGCTGCAAGTCCCCTGAAGTAATAACAGATTGGAAGAAAAACTTATGTGCGCAGGCGTACGATGGTGCTGCTGCAATGCAAGGAACTTATTCAGGGTTACGTACATTTATTCAATGCGAAAACTCAAAGGCGATATATGTATGGTGCTTTGCACACTTATTAAATCTAGTTGTGGTTGATACCTGTGACTCTTGTAGTGACACAAAAAATTTTTTTGGTCACTTGCAATCAGTGATTGAATTCATGAGGGCTAGGAAAAGAACTGCTGTGTTTATTGAATGTCAACGTGATTTATATCCAGAAGAACGGATTTGTCGTATGAAAAGTTTTTCTAATACGAGATTGACATCTCACGATCGTGTAATTAATGTTGTATACAAACGATTTAAAGCATTATTAAAATCATTAATTATTTTGGAATCATTCAATGATAGAGTAACGTCTTCAAATGCTAGTATATTTAAAAATATTTGTTCAACATTTAGTTTTGTTGTAACATTAATTTTTATGAAAAAAGTTTTTTCGGTCACCACACCACTATCCAACTATTTACAGTCAAAATCACTGGACTTTATTGAGGCATTAAGACTTGTGAATAACGCAAAAGAAAATTTACTATTAATGCGCTCTGACATCAAATATGAACAAATTATAAATGAAGCCAAACAATTTTGTGAAGAACATGATCTGCCTGAAAAGGACTTTAAAACTATTAGATCGAAAAAACGGAAGAGGCAAATTGATGAAGATGAAAATACAAATGAAGTAAATTTAAATTCACCATTTGAAAAATATAAAATAAACACATATTTTATGGCTTTGGATAAAATAATAACATCATTTATATCAAGATTCAGTGGGGCTCAAAATATTTTAAAAGACTTAGCTTTACTGTCACCTGAGCGTCTAATTGAATTTGGAAAAGATCCCGAGCAAGAGTTACCAAACAATTGTTTTAATTATGTTGCAGAATGGATAGATGGTATATCATTAGAAAATTTAAAAAATGAATACAAAGTGTTTAGTACTAGTGTAGTATCTTTGCATGATGGAAATAAATTTCCGACCAATCTTCACAACACAAGCATTATTGATGAAACAACATCAGAATTAAACCAAGAAACCTTACAAACCAGTGAATCAGAAATTGACCATGAAGAAAGCGAAGCAATATGTTACAACAATACTATTACTGTATCCAGTATTTTACATGTTTTAACAAGTTTTGATTTGGTATCTGCGTTCCCAAACTTATATCTGGCTTACAAGGCATTAGGAACAGTACCAGCATCTTCAGCGTCAGCCGAACGAAGCTTTTCTAAGGTATATTATTAATTTTAAAATTTTTATAATATTGTTTATTGCAAATTGTAATAACTGTAAACTATGAGTAATGTTTATTTTATGATTGATGACACACTATTTGATTTACATCTAGGTAAAATTAGTAAAGACGAGACTACGCTCAACAATGGGTGAAGAACGACTTGAAAGTCTCATTCTTTTAAGTTGTGAAAAGGATATAGATATAAATATTGAAGAAGCAATAAACAGATTTGGTTGTTCTTCGGATTTACTAAAATCACACCTTATGTTTAAATAAATAGTAATTTCATAATTTAGTTGAGTTATTTACTTTATTTTATTATTCTAAATACCATTAATTTAGATAAAAAAAAAAAAAAATTATATTAAAATTTAGTGATATAAGTATGACCAAAAATGAATTGTCTTGAAATTTTCAAAAACTAGGTAGAGTGCATATAAAATGTATTAATTGAATTTTTGTTATAGAAAAAATTACATTTAGATAATATATATATTGATTTGTCATGCGGATCCAATAAGTATAATTTATTTTTTTAGGGGTCTAGAGGGGTCATGATTTACTGTATATAGTATATACCAATATTAAATAATCATTACTTTATCACTAACAACTTATAAATTCATTATTTGGAGAGCAGTGAAAAAAATGTAGGGTGGGTGGTGTAAAAATTATTAAATGCGAGTCATGAAAAAAAAAGTTCAAGCCGCCACTGTATATATACATAATATGTATGACACATTGACCATATAGTATATACTCCGACGATGAGCGCCGGTCGATCTTAGCGGCCGATTATTTCTTAAATCGAAATGCCAGCGGCGACGACGAATACAAATCAGACGGTCAACAGAGTTTAAACACGTTCCACGTCCTTACGTATATTCGCCTCTCGTCTACATTTTATTATTATTTTAAAACACTGCAGTGCGTATTACATTTTCGAAAATGTTCGGTTGTACTATATGCGACAAAGTGTACGTTCATAAACGCGATCTTAACAGACACACTAAAATCCACGATGGATCGGTCAATACCTGCGANAAAATATTATTTATCATGATTAAAAATGGTTATAACATGTATTTCATCCATGATGATTTATTCATCCATGATTAAACATGTAATCATATCTTTTCGTATTCGATTAAAAATAAACGAGTGCATAGTGCACCGTGCACTAGTGTAGTGTCAGTTCAATTTCAGTGCACACTTTTATTGTTAAATCGAAAACGCTATAAGTCAAGAACAAAGGGTGAGTTTATCAATTTAATTATTATGATAAAGACTATACTTAAAACTTCTACGACTTTTTCTCGATGTTTTAGATTTTCAACTATCGACTATCTAGATTTAGACGTTGCGTCGAGTGCACTTTTGGAATAATAACATCTAAATGGGTATTATTAAAGAAAGCTATTGAGACAAAGGTAGAAAAAGCAGAAACAATTATTAAATGTATCTGCTTGCTACAAAATATTATTATTGATAGAGAAGGTAAGTAAATAGAAACTTAAATTTGTATGTACGTAAGTGAGATAGTCAAAATCTGGAATTCACCGTACCTTGTATTTCCCATACCCCCTCGAAAATACTTTACTAAATCTATAATCAAAGTTTAAAATAAATATTGAATATAATTTATTTACTGTAATATTTATATTGTAATTTTCAAACATTAACAATGATTTTAGTTTTTTTTTTTACCACGGCTGCTCTGACCATTGGTCTGACAGTGACTTAAATTATACAATATATAACATAATATATTATCTATATAATCTTAACTTAGGTTAACATAGGGTGGTTCATATTTCTTTATACAAATTTGATTTTTTTTCAAATAAATAGATTGTGAGTTCCAATTAGATATGTGGAGCAGAGGGTTATATTTAGTTTTATACGAGGTTTTATGTGATATTATGTATAATTCTGTAAAAATTTAATCCCTGAAACAAAACATTACGTGTCCTATAATATTTTCACAATAATATTAAATATATATTATTATAAGGACGCTTTTTATAAGTTATACTTTATATATAAAATTAAAAATAATTAATATTTTTATTTTTATATTTCCAATGACTGATACGTCAAATACTACAAATAATAATTATATAGTTATGAAACAATCGTTAATGAATGTAGGTGATAGTAATTTTATATTTTAAGACTGGTGTAATAAAATATTATTAACTTTATAATCTGTTAAATACCTATTTAATATTAATACATTTTATTTTCTGTCTCAAATGTAGGACCAGTAACCATCCCAGCTGTTGAAAAGGCACTTGAACACTATCGCACTCTACAAAATGAGCCACTTAGGACCGGACGAACTTTCAACAGGAGTACTCAAGAAGCACAAGAAGTACGAAATAAGTACAAACGATTTTTCAATGGATCCGGGGCAGTTTCTTTCCAATAAAGCCCAACAAATTATATAAAAACAAAGTTTTTTCAGTGTTTGAATAAATTATTCAACTTACTATGTACTTCAATTTTACTATGTAGTTTGGTGTATTTATTTAAAATTATTTTATTAAAGGATAAATAAATA